TGGAATTATTTGCTTCTCTAGAATTTGGCATAAATGAAAAGTAAAATATTATAGAGGTCATGAACCTCAGAGTAATGTCCTTGAAGGGCAAAAATAATTTGAAAAGTACTTAACTGAAGATAAGCTCTATTTCTTACCCTTCTCCTGCTCTCACATCTGGGTAAGATATTGGGCCTTCTGGGCAAATTTCTGATGATGCATCAGTGCATAAAATTAATGATAAACCAGGCAAACTTGTAGAAAGAATTTATTCATGTTCAGCTTATGAAATGTAAGCTAGCTCCCTTGAAGCAGAATATTCTCTCTTTTCTTGTATGCACACACTCCATATTGGGTTTGGATTTATTAGTGGACAAAATAATGATTTCTAGCAACATAGTGATGGCCTCTGAGTCTTTCCACTGAACCAGCATGTCTCCCGCGGAGATTGGAGAACACGGGTCTAGGGCCAGATGAGCCCCTCACTCCTGGAAGCCTGCCTTCCTTCTGGCCATGACAGTGGCAGATTCCCAGGCAGGGCCAGGTACACATCATATTTGGCCCTCAGTGGGACAGGAAGTCCAGGCTAACTGAAGTTGGTACAAAGTGCGGGCACTGTGGTTCCTATTGAAGGGTCAGGCGGCCTACTGGCACTGGGTTGCTTCTGGCAGTTACAAGTCAGGCTGAGTTCCTGATGCCGTTGGGTGCATCTGCCGGGCTGAGGAAAGAGCAACAGGCACTGTTGTTGTGGGAACTGGGACCTGGGGACTTGTGGGCTCTAACCCAGCCACAAAGCCTGAAATGAAAGTGAATCTAGTATTCCCCCCCGTGAAAGGAACTTGAGCAGCAAAACGCAGTCTCACCAGGCTGTTATGCCACCTGGTTTATCGTGCCAGATGTTTCAAAGTAGTTCACTCCCTGGTAAGAAAAGACATTCCTCCATAGCAGCTCCCCCACTCTGCTTTCACAGGTTGTCCAGGTTCTCGTTGCTTTAGCTTTGTAGTATAAAGTAGAAATGATAATATGGATGAGATGAGGGCGAATTACTCTGAAAAGTGCGTTGAGTTACTGACAAATAAGAGTCAGAGACTATGTCCGATTCCTTTATATTTCCCAACATTTAACCCAGCCCCTAGCACCTCGTAGTCACTCAAAGATTCTTTTTGCTGATTGGATGAAAGTTTTGTAGCAGGAGATGGTACTGACGAACCTTATTGATGATTACTTGAGGGGACCATACACTTTGCTGTAAACACTGTCGAATCTGTCAATTACATGAAAGTGATTCCCCTCGGGGACATGATACAAAATAGTGATAACAGCCCCTTTCCATAATGAGGGCTTACTGCAGCCCTGCCTGCACGTGAATGCTGGTGGCGCCCCACTACTAGGGTGCGTGCTGGACCCGTCAGAGATGAAATGATGGCCGTGCACCTTTCCCACGCCTCAGAGTCAGCTTTCTGAAGGCCCAGTGCAGCGTTTCAGAGGAGTGATTTTTTTTCATGTGCTAATTATGAAGGACTTAGCTTTGTGGGGTACTTCTGAGAGGCTGCAGGAGAGGGGAGGCTGTGGTTGCAGCCCTCCAGATGCTTGTATTCCAATAAGGGAGAGATGCAGGCACTTGGGACCCTGATGTGGTACAGACTGTGTAAGGGCTTTAGATGTTTAGAGGAGAATACAGTCTCCCCCCAGAAGCAATTAGGGAGGCCTACAAATGAAAGGAGGGAGGGTTTGAACGCCACCATAAGGAATGGAAAGGAATTGGGTGGGTAGGTATGTGAGTGGAGAGCCCCTTCCAGAGATGGAGAAAAAAGCAAGAGGAGAAGAGGGAAAGGATGGGTTGGATTTGGGGAACAGTGAGTTGATTAGAGCTTGGAGTAGCTGGGAAGAAGGCCCAGCCTGAAGACCCCGGATGTCACCCTCAAACAGTGGATTACTTTTGCCTCACTAGCTTTTAATGTTTTATAGTAACCACCACAAGCTTTCTTTCCCGGGCAGATGTAGTAAGAACAGAACAAGTTCTTTCACTGAGAAGCTGAAAGCTCTTGGAAAGTTTACACTAGGTCATTTCCAGTTGCTTTGGGTCCTCTCTTCATTCTCTCTCAATGGGAAAAAGCAGTGATTAGTGAGGCAGTCAGCGGGTCAGATAACATTTTGGCCCCATTGTAGATAGCAGCCTCGAGATACTGTAGAACATCACCCCTGGGCTTAAAAACTAGAGATCCATTAGTCCCACTTCCCAAGTCAAAATAAACTGGACGTGTTTCTGTTATGTGTGTTATACAATTATGTCTGAATGATCTACATTAATGATTTGGTTTAATGCTCTTAGAAATGCCATCTTGTTTGTTTTAAGGTTTTTTCTGATTGCAAATACTCACCCTAAATTAATATTTCATGAGACTCAAGCATAACTTGAGGCTAGAAATACTATGATGGAAGCCATAGCTATTGTTAAAAAAAAACAACCCAAAAAACAAACAAAAAAACATGGTTGTGCTACACTCAGGGCAGTTGAGATTGAGAAACACAACCCCTTATTCAAGCACTAGCACAGTTTCCTTTATTTGCCATCCCTGTGGACAATGATGAATTTTAACAAGTTTTCTAATTATTTAGGCCATTGCCCTCCAAAGAGCATATTAATACATTCATTTTCTTGATTTACAAACATTCACAACGTGTTTATTCCCACACACTGACCTAAGTAAGAACTTTACAAATATTCAGACATGTAGTCCTCTCAACAGCCATATGAAGGAGATAGCATTATGGTTCCTGTGTTACAGATAGGGAAATCAAGGCACAGAGAAGCGAAGTAACTTGTCCAAGATCACACAGATAGTATTAATGACCATTCGAGTAGACATGCAAATTGGAGGTTGTGTTTAGTATGTTTGGTGTCACCTTTGTGACAAAGGATAAAAAGAGCTTGCCTGGGAGGACTGTGCCATGCTGTGCTGTGTGACAGAATTATGTTCTTGGGCCATTTTAATATAGGCTAATTTTCTACCGTTTATGACAGTTGTCTTTTAAAAAACTCAGTATTTTCATTGACTGTGAATATTTGAAAGTGAACAATTTTTTGTGTATGTACAAAAACTACATAAGCTATACCAAAGACCAGGCCTGCATAATTATGACCTTTTAATGTTGGAAGATGTGGCTGTTGGTAGTGGCGTGTCCCCAGATGTATGGCAGTGACTCTAGAGTTAATAATAGATGACATTTAGTAACATTGTCTATGTGCCCAGCACCCTGCTAAGTACATAACGTGATTTGTTTTGTTTAATCAATCCTCCCAACAACCCCATAAGGTAGGTCCCGTGGACAATCTCTTTTCTACAGATATGGAAACTGAGGCCTGGAGAGGTTTGGCGGAGCAGGGAATTGAACCCCAGAAATGTTTCCTGAACCCCCAGTCTTGACCACTGTCCCACTGCCTGCCGCTGGGCAATGGGGCTGCTGCTGGCCCCCGCCCCCTCGCTGACAGCAGCGCTCTCAGTGCGGCGAGTCCTGCGGGCTGCTGCTCGCTGTCCTCAGGGATGCACAGCTGAGCTGGAAAATTTCTTGTAGCAGCTCCGCTTGTGTCTTCCTAGGCTCCCGCTACTCGCCTTAGCTGTACAGCAAGTATGTGAAGGGTCAGATTTCATCCATTGTTCTTCCATCATCAGCGTTACACCCAGCCTGAGTTCAGCATTTGCTGAATGCCACCCTGCCCTGCTAGAGAGCAGCAAGAGTATGGCACAGGTGTGGGTGGGGCAGACGGACCCTGACAAGATGGATCCTGACATTGAATGTGGAAGCTTGATGGAAAGGAGCTTATGCTTATGATGTCACGTGAGCTCCTCTATGCACCGATCTGTAATAAGTTCTACTCTTCCTTTTACACAAGATTTTTTCCTACATCAAGCATGGTGTCCATTATATGGTAGATGCTCAATAAGCGTTTGATGAAAGCATGAATGAATGAGGGACCGAATGAATGAATCAGGCATTGCTTGGTTCCTTTGGTTAAATGGCACCCCAAAAGGTCCTGGGATGCTCTTCCCTCCTGCATCCTGGACTCTCTCCCTGTCCTCCTTGTCTCCTGTCTCCCTCTCCATCTCCCCTATCAGTCCAGGGGTTGGCTGGACAGATAGCAAGAACTGTTCTTTTAGGTTGTGCTACTGACGGTGTTAGGTTCTATAGTTTTAGAATAGAACCATACTTAGGGAAATTAGGAGTGAAATCAGCTTTCCAGGGACTCCAGTCACCACGTATATTAATGTGTGGACATTCTGAGCCCTAAACAAACTTTAGGACAACACACTGAGAACTGCATATGTTTGAGAGGCTCCTATCATATAAGCATATGCAGTGGAATTTGTTCCACATCTGTTCTCATGATTGAGCAGCACTTGACTTGGTTGCTTTATTGAAATGCTGGATTGAAAATACAGTGTTAAGGGAAACATTTCTGGTACCAGCTAGAGATTCCCTGGGAGTTTTATTTTCCATTTGGAGTAGATAATTGACACATCATGCCAGCATCAAGACAGGATGTGTATTAAGTGGCTTTCCTTTCTGTGTCTTTGACAGATATGTCATCCCCACACCAGCGAGCCTCAGCCAAGATGAAACCAATAGCAGAAGGGGTGGAAGATGATGATGAGGTCTTTGAACTCGTGTCTCCAAAAACATTTAAAGTCCATCAGATGCCTTGATCAGAGAGAAGAGTCAAGTTACCAAGATGAAAATTGTCTTGAAGAGATCCTGAAAAATACCAGCACTTTTTCACTGCTTCTAGATTATTCTGCTTCAGTACATCCAGACTGGGACAGTCTGAGGGTGGGAAAGTGAGGAAGGTTAAAAAATGGGAAGGTTATTTTAGCTCTCCTTTGTATTGGTCGCCTTCATAAGTAGTTGTTTTACTGAGCCTTCTGGCAAAACCTGGTTCTATTTTGAGATATATATTTTCACAGTATTTTCTAGATACACTATCATTTTAACTTTAAAAAAATCTTAGTGTTCTGTCATTGTAAATTTCTTTTCACTTATTTTTCCAAGTTGTGGTTCATCTTCCTCACAGACCATTTTTTCTCTACCATGGCAATGGCACTGTCCATTTGATAGTTTTAACAATGTAAGTTTGAAATTGAGGTTAAGGTAACATTAAAAAGCAGGGAATCTCAGGCTTTCCTCACTTGGTTTCTTTGGATGGAAAATTTTAAAGGAAGATGTGATTCAACTGGTGTGTGTTTTTCTCCCAGGCCAGACACATTATTCCACTTGATCACCTTACTTATTCGGGCATTGTGTAAATAGCTTGATAATGGACAAAACTCATCGGAATTTTCTCACATTGCCCTTATATTAGGCTATTTATAAACTGGTCTGAAACCTAAAGCAGGAAAGCCGTTCTGAGCTGTCTACCTTCAGCTCAACTCGCTTACCGGCGGTTTGGAGCCATCTTGTCTCACACATTTGGGTATGGGAGACACTTGCCTGGGGCGGGGGAGAGAGGAGAGTCGAGTGGCCAAGCATGCGTCACAGAATGAGGTGACTGACAGAGCAGCTTCATGCTTTGGTTAGGATTCTTAAGATTCAGATTTTTTCAGGGTGACCAGTTGGCTCCGTTGGTTGGAGCACGGTGCTGATGGCACCAGGGTTGCTGGTTCGGTCCCCGCATGGGCCACTATGAGCTGTGCTGTCCCTGGAAGAGTCAGCTATGCCATTGTGGCATGGAGGCAATGTGTAACCAGTGACCATGGCTGTTCCCAAATAAAGTTAAAAAAAAAAAAAGCTGGCCCCGGAACGTCACACTCTAAAAAAAAAAAAAAGATTTAGATTTTTCCTCCAGGGTTTTATTCTTTTTTATTTTATTTTTGTTTTTTTTTAGCTGAGCCATCCTGCTACCTATTGGCAGCTCAGCGGCTGCTCAGCTCAGGCTAGACTCGAACCGCTATTGCTCAGAGCTCAAACTCTTGAGCGAGCTCTTAACCAACTGAGCCACTCGGCCGGCCCTCCTCCAGGGTTTTAGATGTCTCTTTAAAATGTGTGCCGGATACCCAGTGTCAGAGCTGCACATGTGAGCACAGCTGTGGGGGCAGGCAGTTCACCACAGGCCATGCCTTGGGCACCCAACCTAGACACTGCTGTAGAGGGCCTTGATTCCAGATCTCTCTTTGCTTCTAGAATCATGTTTTGGGAAGTGGTGGTACATGGCTGGCGGGATATGAGAAGTGTGCTTACCTCAGTGGTCAGTCTGGTCAGTGTGACCATGACCCTGAGTTGGGTGAAGCCCATCGATCAGCTATGCTGCATCAGACCCCGTTGATGGTTATTGTGTTTCTCTAGAACCAGCTTTGAGGCAGTTCCCTATTATATTAAATAGCTAAGAAAAGTTCCAAATGAAAATATTTTCACGTGAGCTGAGCCAAAAGAAGCACCTCTTGCCAAGAGGTAATTTCTGTTAGGGCAGGTACATAAGCTAATCTAGGGTCACACATTTTCCTAAAAAAAATTTTTTTTGAAGCTAATTGTTTTAGTAATTTCCCGACATCTGTATCAAACGTTGGCTTATTAATATCACAGTAGAAAGGCTGACTTCATTTTGCTACTGTGGCAGTCTCTTCAGTATGCTACATTAGAAATTTATTTTGGGGAAATGAAGAAGAGGTGAATGACTTCGCCATGGCTTTAAGACTGTAAAGATATATTAGGTTGAACTATCACTTCCTGTGCCTGAGATCACATGTGTAACTAAAAAGTAATGGTGTTCCTACTGCTCTCCCTGAACTGTTGGAGTAAGGTCATGTAGACCATTTAGTTTACACATGCATAAGAATAATTTACAAAGTCAGTCAATAGAGTAATTAGCTATTACATCCTTCCCTAAGTAGAAAGTAATTTTAGATTCTGCTGAGGCCACGTTTTTAATATCCTGTGGGCCCACAGAACCTCTGAATTTCCTTACCCTGACGCATTTTCAGGTGTGTCTCACTTTGGCAACTTCAGACAGTGGAGAAGGTCATCTCTAATGATCAACCCGGATGTGTTTGGAGGTTATGTTCTGCGGTGCTAGGAACAAACATTTTTTAAAAGCACACTGCTAAAATTAGGTGAGGCAAAGTCATTTACTGTTTTTATTAAAATGTCTGTGTGGGCGCGCATACACATGCATCAGTGTCATTCCTCAGAAGATTGTAATCTCAAGAGTAGGGATCTTAAAAGAGCCACTTAGCTTGATGGGAAACATGAAACTATTTTCCAATACAGACCCCTGAGGAAGACCGTGAGACTCAGAGAAAAGGAACCACAAGCCATTGAGTAGCAGCCTCGCATAGACTTGACAGCAAGGAAGCAGATAAGAAAACAGGAAAGAGTTTTAAGTGTAAGATCTCCTTTGGATGACTTTAAATTTATTTATACAAATGAAAAAGTGTATCTTTGTATAAGGCATAAATACATAGACAAAAAGCATGTTGGCTGCCAAAGCCACCAATAAGATGCTTCCTTTGTTTTTCAGCACTCACATAGCTATGTGACCAAGATTCAGAAAACGGTCTGCAGAAACTATTCTACATATGTCCCCAAATCTATGTTCAAATGTAACATCAGTGTTGTTTGAATCTGGAGTGTCACATTTATACCGGAATTTATCATTTATTTGTAATATTTTGAAAGCCCGCATCAATATTTCTATTCATAAAATAATAGCACAGACACTAGATGGATCCTCAATGATGTTTATGTAACTTAAATTAGTAATAACGGGTACTATATAATTATTTTGTAGTTACCATCCTTTGCTTTCTGGGATCTTTTCCATATCGCCCTGTGGTTCAGTTTCACTTGAATCATTGGACGCCTCATGCTTGTCTGCCATCAGTGTGCACACTAGGAGATGTCGCCTTCTTCCTGTCTGGTTCTCCTCCCTTCCACATGTCAAGCTTTTCTGGCTCTATAACTTGCAGCTGCTGATTTTTGCCTCCCAGGCTCTATCATGGCCCCAAAACTGAGCCACCTGGATGCTGGAACAATCTTGGGGACAGTGGATGTAACCTCTGTGCTCTCCTCTGTCTCTCATGCACCCAGGTATTGACTCCACCCTCCACTGAAGATGTTCATGCTAGTGTGTGGTGGCGTCTGGCCGAGCACGTGGGCATGCAGGTCAGTCCTGACCTTCGGGTCCCTGCGCCCTCCTCCGTGCAGACCCCAGGCTGCAGCTCCAAGGAGTCACTGTTATTTTTTTCTTTCATCCATTTCCTTGGTCCTTCCTAAGGCTGTTCTGCAGAAACCTCTGACCTTGCCATGCCTCAGTTTCCCTTCCCTTCCCTCTTCGCAACCCTGGTTTCCAAACTCTTTTTATAATGATTCCCAACTAGAGTGACTAGAAATTCCCACCTCCTCAATTCAAATTCCCGAGGATTTGAAAGGATAGGATACTGTGTAGGGAGCTTGAGGTTGCAGTGTAAGCATGGTTTCTGTTCATGGGACACATTTTCTCACTGAGGGTAGCCATGCTTTGATTGTCACAGAACCCGTAAATACCTTGTGTAGGATGACATATTGTAAGTGTCATTTAAGAAACCTGCCTTTAAGTACTATTTACAGGTTTTTCTGTTACAGTTGCAACCTAGTTTTAAATAAAGGACATGAGCATTTTATGAATGCTTTATATAGACACATTATTTATAGGAAAATCATTCTTTCTGTTTTTAGGTGCGGTTACATTGATGCCATTTACTTTATAATAAATATACATTTTGTCTGAATAGAGCCTTATAGTTTAAAGTATCTTAATATATTGTCATTTAATCAAATAAATTTCTTACTTAGAAAATATGCGTATTTTTAATTTCATTCCTCTTATATAATAAATCTTAACATTGTCGATAGGTTCTGCAACTTTAAGAGAAATGACATAACGAAACCAATTTTACCATAGGCTAATTGATATAAACAAGAGTTAAGCTCCTATGTATCTCATCAACAGTATCACAAAAACGATGTTATTCAAGGGCCTGCTGTAGTTGCTTTAACTCCATGCCTAAAGACTAGGGTTGGTTCAATTAACCTCAGAGGTTATGGGAATTGCTCTGGTTTAGGTGATCTGAGAAGGCCTGCAGAGGGCATGCTCTTGGGTCAGCTCCACTTATTTCAAAGGTCTGCCATCTTGGCTGCCTTTGGCCATGAGAATACAGGGCTATGAAGCAGTGTGGACGGTGCTGAAAAGCCTTCAGGGTTTCACTGTGGGGATATACAGATTTCAACTTCGTATTACTCCTTAATTGAACTTTCCCTTCTGGCTTCATAAGGTTCAAAAAAACAAGGAGTCATGAAGGGGGCTGAAAATCTCCCCTGGGTCTATCCTGTGGTGGGCAAGAGGGACCAATCTCTCTTTTCTTGGAGAAACCCACGTTTCCCCATCATCTGACCTATGTATTGCGATAGGAACTTGAAAGCCCATCCCTTGGTCCTTAGTAGCAAGTCCTTGGCATCTAACAAACTTGCCCCAGTCAGTCCCAAGACTAGACCCAAATGGAAGGAGCATCTTATACTACCATAAAAGGAATCAATTCTGTTGCTCCATATGCCATGTCACCTAAGTCTAAAGTCCAGGTTCTGCTCCCTGAACTTGCTGAACTTGCTTTGAGGTGGCTTCTCCGTACCTCAGCCTGTGCTGTGAGAACTAAGAGTTTCCATCTATATGTCCAATTGAGGCTTTGCTGTGGACAGATGTGGCTACAGCCTACCATGTGGTAAAATTGACTGGACTTCACTATGGGCTTGTGGGAGCAGATGTGGTGAAGGACAGGGTCAAAGATTTCTGCTCCCAGTTACTACTTACTGGTCATTCCCTAACTAGGGACAGAGCAGAGGACCAGCTTTGCGTGGAAAGACTGAGGGTATGTCCCTCATGCTGAGTTTGAGGAGCCTTTGGGAGAGTAGAGAGATGTCAAGTAGAGCAATGGCAGATAAATAACTCTGGAGCTTATCTGAGTTGAAGATGGCACTGTGTGCTTGATAGCTTCCCAATACATAAAGATTTTTCTGATAAGTGGTGTGGCATGTTTTTTTTTTATTTGTGTGTGTGTGTGTGTGTGTGTGTGTGTGTGTGTAATGAATGCATGTGACTTTTCTATCTTTTGTTTTTAAAATATTAACATTTGAAAACCTGTATAACTCA